TTAGTTTACTGGATGAGAGGAAAAATTATGTCAGATAGCATCTGTTTATTTTCCCGACGCCTCCAGTGCACCTAAACATCCGTCCTCGGAGGAGGAGAGGGCAGTTGTAGCCATGCTCTCTACAATGCAAAGTCGGCCCAGTGTTTTTTTCGATTGTCCAGACGCGAATGTTTGTTGCGGCCGCGACTGTCTGTCTAATGTAGCGTGCACGTTAACTTAAAGAAAAAGGGGGAGGGGGGAGAGTCAGCACTGTTGGGTTGGCGACGCTGTGTCGATTATGCAACAATGCTGATTCTTGTCATGCTGATTGACTTGCTGATGTAGGCCTATGGGCGCCTGTTTGTCAGGACTTAAACGTCTCTTAAAATGCGCGCATTCCCTGGAACTTCGGTGCCTCAAAAAGGACATTGTGCGACCGTTTTGCCGTACTCTATAACTGTAAACTACGTGTGTATCCTGCCTACCGTCCTACCGTGTCTTTGTATGCGCTCGTAATTGCTTACCAGCCTCTCTGGCGTAATATTTTTAAGAAGTGCACTTTCTGATGGTGGGCAATTGGAAGCTGGACTGTTCTCTCGGGTGTGGGATTTTGAAAAAACTCGAGTGGCCTTTGAGGGTGAGCGACTGCTTCGAAAACTTCAGCGAAAGGTGACTTTAAGTGTCTCCACTGTCCGGAAAAGTTGTCTGGGTACTATTTCTCACGCGGTAGACCAACCACTGTGTTCTCGGTTTCAATAAATTCTGTCAACTCTCTTGCGGAAGGTTAGCAATGCTAGCAAGGCGGTCTTCTGTAAGCTTCGCTTCCGGGGCCTCTTGCGCTAAGTAAGCAAGGCCATTCTGAATTAACAACTTGTTGGCCTTTCTCCAGCGTCTAGTATTTCTGTACTTTTAGGCACACGCCGGGTTATTTATGAGGCGGGTGTGCTGCCAACAATCTAGAGGTTGTATGCATTGGGATGTATTCGGGGTTGGAGATTCTGACCGGAGTTCTGCCCAGCGAAGCTCCTACATTGTTGGGGATCAATAATGACCGCTAAACGGGTGTCCCAAAATGCGGTTCACGAACACCTCTGTTGAAATATTTGTCATCGGCCGGGACTAATTAGTGGTGCCTTCGACGGACAGTGAGCAAATGATCCTCATTTTTGTTTGTTAATCAGCTGACTTGGGGAGGGTCCAAACCCCGACGCCCTACTACTGATCTACCGATCTTTCCTCTTACCTTTTGATCAGGAAGCTAAATTGTAATGTTATAAAGTTTTGTAAATGCCTTACATCCTAAGGATTTTTTGTCTGACTCTTATTTTCCACTCATTACCTTCCTTGAAGAAATTGATCTTAATGTTTTACTGTGCGCAACTCTTGGCCAAATAAGTAAGGAGCGCTGATATCATATTACAAAGATTATTGGCCAGAAGTAAATTTTGGAGAGCTTTTCACAATGCCGCCACCATTAAAAGCTTGGAATTACCTTTCGCAGTCTGTACCGTATTTACCACACTAATTCGACATGGGGCAAGCGAACCAATTTTCCGAATGGCTAGGAGCCCGCCTTTAACCATTTATTTTCGCAATGTGCGTATACTTCAGATTTTCTGCTTAATCTCCTCCGTTAAAGATCGAAGCACCGTCGAATCAAGGTATTTTTACGCATGCGCACGTGTATATGCGCTTAGAGGCCTTGCTGAGGGTACGCCCAAATGTGTGTTTTGCTCGGGGGACAAATTTGTCAAAATTAGTTTGCATACGGGTGTCCGATGATTCAACACACACACAGTTATATTCTCGGTCATGCTAGGTCCCACTTTGCACCAAGGATTTATTGCCGTGGTTTGGAGCATTGTTGCATCCTATCTTTCAACTTTTGAATATGAACATATAACGCCTTCTTTTCATGTGCAGAAGGGGTTTTTCCAGTACGCTGTCCCATTAGCTGACTTCCGACTGCATCGAACGACATCTGGTTGTAGTTCTTCATACAACGAACACCCTTGCCTGGCGTGCTGGCGGCCTCTAAGCCAGAATGACCGCCGATTACGTTGGCTGCTCAAGCTTACTTTCCTTTATTTTGGGTTCTCTTTCAGGTGGGCTGAGGGAACATGCATGACTGTGCTGGCCTTTGTTGTTCTGCTCTGGATCTCCCGTGAACCCGGCGCACCCGGCTGGTCAAAATTTATGCCCAAGGTCATGCGTAACGGAAAACTGACCCCGTACGTGATCTTTCGTGTTATTGTATTTTCTTTATTTCCTTTAAACCATTTTGTACACAAAACACTGATAATCCTAGCCTGGTACAGGATGGGCCCGTGAAGTATTTGCAGGAGGCTTCAGCTTGAAAGCTTATATGAAGCTTGTTGATGTCATCTATTTCTTACGAACCCAGATTAAGCTTACACCAGACGTTCATGACTTCTAACTTGCATAATACGTCCTAGTATTTGCTTTCCCTATCTGAAGATAGGGAGTCAGGAAATTTATCTTTCGGCATCAGTAAACTGTTACACCTTCCAGCTAAGCAGCGAACCCCGATCTATAAGTTAATTGGTGCATTGTTTCGAGGGCTCATCCCGCCATCTTTGAAACTCGTGTGAATGATTCCAAATCAAGTTTTTTTTTCCTCTAATGGACGTTTACTATCGGATGCCACGTGAGTGCAATGGTCCTTAATGGTAGCGCGTACACACATCAGCGACAGGCTTAAACTGATCTTTTATGCTTATCACCTAAGTGTGTTGAGGCGAATAATCGCAGACAGGAACTGTAAACTGTCATCTGATAAAAAAAACTTCCAAAACTTTAAGAGACGAACTTTCAGCCTGAATGTGTTGACGGTCAATTTCTCCGGCCGACTTTGGTTTCATACTGGTAGCATCGCTCTCTTTTTTAATCTCTGTTAGTCTTGTCACTGACACGCAACCGGCCATCATCGGAACCGTGCTCTTCCTGGTCTTACCGGCATATAACCCGTTTGCGAAAAAGATACGTGACGGTAAGTCCCTTGTGCCAATTCCTATTTTTTTTAAATTGCAGTGGTTGCCGTTTGGGGGAGAAATTAATTGAAGAAGGCCAATTGTAACGTAAATTTGCTTTCTGTTACAGAGGAAGTAAGCAATATCTTCTTATGTAACTTATGTAATTTCCAAGATAGTGTGCTTTGGCTATAAATATTCAAGAGGTTGTTGAAGCTCTTGCGCTAGAACGGCAAACAAAGGTAAGCACTGGATCATTTAGGGGTAATGTGCAAGATAGCCTTCAGATCGATATTCACAAATAAGGTTTTTGTCACTAAGGTCCTTCGTATGGTTACATAAGACCCAAACTGAGGCTTACTTCTAAATCCCCATAATTTTCGTTCATTACTGACTGCACTGCGCAATTTTACGCACTTCAAGGTGTTTGCCTGTAGTCCTGTAATGCATACACCCATGTACGACTCGTCTGTTCGTTCCTTAAGGCACACCTGCCGATCCGGAGGAGACGGTGCTTCCATGGAAAGTCGCTGCAAGCAAATGCCCTTGGAGTGTGCTCATCCTACTCGGCGGTGGTTTCGCTCTTTCTAAAATTTGCTCGGTATGTCTCTTGTCTTTTTTCTTGCGTGCATTTAATTTGTTTTCCGTTGCTTGGTATTTGGCGAAGGTGTGAGAGAGATGCAAACCCAATTCACCCCCTGCCCTTTAGGTTTCCGGCCTATCAACCCTTGTGGGTGAGAATATGATCGCTCTCAAATCCCTACCCGTGATTGCCCTGGTCTACGTTATCACAATCATCGGCTCCGCCATCACCACCTTTGTTGCGAACGCGGCCACCGCTACAGTGCTTCTGCCTATCATGTTTCAGCTGGTAAGTCACTTGTGCCCGTCATGGCAGACTTAAGGTTCCACTCCTATCCAAAGGCACTTAAAAGTCTGTTTAGAAGATAGATGACCTCTTACCTTAGCCCTGTCTCGGACGAAATTGCTTGATTAGTTTCGCTCTACAGCATCGATGTCTGTCTTAATTAGAGTTTCACGCATGTTTTACGAGTACTTTGTAAGAGTAAAAACGGCCGATGTTCGGTCCTTTCATGCGTTTGCCTATAATGGCGTGGTTTCCCTTGTGCCTCCCCCCTAAATAACGGATCACGCGGTAGGTACAATGGACTAACACGACGGCCAGATCAGGGTACGGTAAATGTTATTCGGGCTGCGCACCGATAACAAATGCCGGACATGGAAGGGGGTGTGCTGGGCAGCTTAAGCCGTGCCAGCCACCTCCGGTCTTCTTGACTCTGTCTTGACACCGGGCTCAGGTGGATGCGGGAGAGAGTGCGGCAGATGCTTTGCAATGCTACTTTCACTTAAAACTAATTTGCACGCAAGTCAGCGTCCCTCTATCACCCTGTTATGGAGCATACGGTGCACATAGCCGAATTCGACAGAACTGTCGGTTTCCCTTAGTACATAATCAAAATAAGTGTTTAAAACTATGGAGTAATGGAAGACTAGACGAAAGCTGTATGAAGGCTGTTCACTGTTTCGACATGATTTCAGGACAGAATACGGCTAAACCTGGCCACCGTAGTGTCCGC